TAGACACCTGCAGTATATCCCAATTCTTTAGAGCTGTCCATGTCCAAGGCTAAATGGAGACTGGCATTTTTTTTATTAATTCAGCATATTCCCTTGCTCCACAGAGAGAATGGCAATTACGCATGCTCACGGAAAAAGTTCTGAAATGCACGTGTTAAGGTGCAAAGTACGGGCACTCTTCAATATTTCAGATATTAATGTCTGCCGTATTTTTTACGGGAGTGCAATTTCTCGTTCGAAGAAACGAATTCGTATGGCCCTCCTACGGCATCGCTAAATAGTCTATGAATATCTAAACAGGTGCAACGTCCTCCAATTTTCCTTATGGGTGATCATTATTAATTTATCTTCTCGTCTCTCTCTCTTTCCTTTGAAGACTTTTACTCTTTTTCAATAATTTGCATTGTCTAAAGCATAATTTTCGTCGAACGAACTTTGAAATGCAAAAAATTATTGCATCGCCACGTAGTTTCACGAACGATGCGTTAGGTGATATGTATTTGTATTTATAGCAACGTGAAAAGGCAAACAGCAATATCGAAAAACAGCAATACGAAGTAGACTAATAGTTACGAGAGTTAATAAAATGAATATACGTTAAGTAGAAAAATGCTGGTTAAATAAATACACAGTGCAATGAAAATGCTGGTAAAAAAACACGCAGCGCAATGAAAAATAAGAAATAATTGTGTATATAATTATTAAGCCACAAAGTATTAATGTGTAATCGTGCAAGAAGTGACGTTGATTCATTAGCAATATTGTTTAAAGTGCATTGTACTACTAGCATGCATATTAAGCTTGGATATTATCGTTAAACTTACTTTGTTGCGTTTACTTATTCAGCTTATTGCATGTTAAAGCCAGGCTATAAATAGCACTAAAAATACTGGAAAATCGAGCTATTTTTCATCGATAAAAAATTGTGTATAATGGAGCAATTTGGATTCGGCTTCGAAGTGTTAAAATAAGAATACATGATCTAATCTCCAAATCAAACATTAAATTTTGTGTGCCTGTGTTATTAAATCTCTTGTCGAGATTATATATACAATTTAAAAGTTATATTAATTTAATGCGAAATATTTAATACGAAAATTTGTTTCCAGCATGCTCATATTTTATAACTAAAGTCTTAGATATTTTTAGCAAAATCGTTCTTGTTATGTTCTGTTATAAATAGGATAAAAATATGATTTATATCGATTTAAGAGAATATCACGATGACATAATAAGATATAACAGAAATAGCAAAAGGATATCGAGAATTTTTTATCTTCATGATTCAATCTGTTATTCTTGCTAAGATCAGAATTACCATGAAAAGTCTGATGTTAAAATAAATGTAGTCAATGTTGTGTCTAAAAACAAAAGTAGAAGTAAATATGATTCGAAGAAATGAGAGCTTAAATAAATAGGACTAGTTATTTTACTATTGGTACAATAAACATTGACCTTTATTATATCTTCTTTTCGAATTCATATAGTGATTATTTTTATAATTCAAGTTGTCTATTATTGATATCACATCATTCTGGACTGTTTTTATAAAAAATGTCGAGAATGTAATTATCGATATATTGCGACCAATGAAAATAATAAAAATATCTTTTTTTAACCAATTGTCATCATTCTTCAGAAAGGATAATAATTACGAATTAATGCTCAGAGTGAAACTTTTGTAAGTAATTAACATATATGTTAAAATTATAAAATACAAAGTGTGGGATCTCTTATAAATATGCAAAGATTCCATAACATATGTTTACCGTGTTATAAAGCTCGTTGCTAATCGTAAGTTTATAAATTTCTATAAATAAATGAAATTATCCTTATGTTCTTCATATTTTCTATTCATAAAATCTTTATATTTTTTTATTGCCTTTTATGGCTTTTATTATTAATTCACTTTGTCTCTTCAACATTGTACGGTCGCTTTTTTTTATTTGAATTTTTATTTAGGAAAGAAACTATATAATAACGCAAAAAATGAACGTCGCGTCACAAAGTTTCACGGACGGTGCATCGATAATGATGCATTGTTATAGCAACGTGAAAAAGACAACAAATAACAAGACGAAATACAGGGGTATTGAGAGAATTAAATGAGACAGACATTTCAGTTTATGGACAGCGTTCCTCAATGAAATGTGCAGTTGAAATATTACAGTGAAATAGAAACAACGTACTAAAATATAACAATTTTGTATCTTTCTTTTATTTATATATTTTAATGGGAGGGTCCCAGATGCGCACAAAAAATATCGGACACAGTCTCAATCGGACACAGATTGAAACGAACACACGACGATTTCAATCGGACACAAGTTAAAACGGGTAAAGGTGCAATCTACCTCGGTCACCTAAAAAATTAATGAAATTAGGCTTATTCGACGTGTTTTTGCATGAAATGAAAGAATCTGGCAGAAATAAGCGTCGCTCTGCTCCGCGAACCGAGGTATTAAGCGATAAAGTTGACGACTATTGAGATTAGGAAATCTGTCACAGCCACACTGCGAAATTGTAACCCATGTAGACAATGGGGTGTGTGGACAGTAGCGCTCAGGTTCGGGGTGGCTACGCCGCCCCGAACAAAAAAAAGATAACATATCCTATTCGCTTGAGGTCTAACCGCGTGGAAGTTGCAGCTGGGACAGTATCCGCTTGGAATATTTTTAACTCATGAAGACAGTGGGGTGTGAGAACAATTTTTTTAGAGGCACTAAAAACCCATTTGGAATTCAGGATGTGAGAATTTTTACCCGTTTAACTTGTGTCCGATTGGGATCGTCGTGTGTTCGTTTTAACCTGTGTCTGATTGAGACTGTGTCCGATTGGAACAACCTGCTGTGTCCGATATTTTTTGTGCGCATCTGGGACCTACCCATTTTAATATAATATACATTTAATAAATTTTTAATTTGTAAATTAATAAATTAGTAAATTTATTTTATTGTAATTGTTAAGCAGTTTCTAATGAATGTTTTGAAAATACTTTATTTAAATCAGTAAAAATTTTGAAACAAATTGTGTTGCCTATTTTTTAAGCATAATAAATAAAAGTTCTAAGTCTACATTCTTTGTTGACTTGCAGAAGTGTGTGTCTGTGTGTATGGATGTGCAAAATAAGATTGCGTTTTATTAAGGCAAATTTTGTTTCTTCAATAACTTCAAAAACTTTTGTTATTAATTTTTTTTTAATTCTGCGTTTAATACAGTGTGTATTTTATATAACATATTGTACTTTGTATATATAATTATAATACGTTTATTTTATTACAATAATGTAATATTTTTTAATAAAAATAATAGAAACTTGGCGTTATTTTATTATTTAAAATAGTTTATTTGTACTTTATTCAGAACGTAATAGTACTCTGGATAAAATACAAATAGAAAAATTTAATTAACAAAAAATCTTACTTCGATCGAATTAGTAAGATACCCAGAAAATCCGAGTCCCCCCCACAAGTTGAAACTTTGACTGAGATGATATTTTTCGCAATAAGTTCTTTGCAATGTTTTAAAGTGCTTATTAGCATCTTATTAAAACACTTCATAAAGATGCTTATTAGCATCATTATTAAATAATTAACGATTAATGTGTCGATTTATCATTATATTTTCAATTTCAGTTGTGATTACGTTCCAACAAATCGAATTTGGAACTGAAAAATGTATTTGTAAATCTATATATATGTGAATAATTATTATTAAGCACCAGAATCCGCTTCGACCGAAAATAGGATTCTTTATCTTATTTGAAAATAATGTTACCAATTAAAAGTCATAAAAATATTATTTTATAAAAATAGGACGTTACTGTTGTCGTTATTTTTTTATAAAAAGTAACTCGTTATCATTATTCATTACTATAATTTTAAAAAGCAACTTGTTATCGTTATGCTTAGTTATAAGGAAGTAACCGCAATAGCATCTAGTAACATACTACATGTCATAACTACTACATCTGGTAACTACTAGCAATCAATCAATGGCAAAATGCAACATAGATATGATCAGAATATGTATTTGGCATGACTGATTAATGTGATTTACTTAAGCATGAATTATAACCCACACAGTTCTCTGAATGATGCTTGAGGACGCTTATAGGATGTCCCACGATATCCTAAGGGCGTCCTTTGGACATCTTTAGGACATCTCTTGGAAAATCGTGTTTTGTAGAAAATTAAAATATTTAAAATACCCATCTATAATATAAAAAATAACATAAAAAATAAATACGAAAAATATGTAGACATCCTTTCGTATAATATTATATATTATAGATCTGTTTTGTATGCATTGTAAATTTTTCCTTAACTTTAATTATAAGTTTACTTTAATTATATGTCACCCGGGAAAAAATGTTATATATATGAATATATTTTATATATAATTATATATAATCTTGTATAATTTTATATAATCATATATAATTATATATGAAACATTTTTTCCTGGGCACGCATACAGAGTTAATATTAAATAAAAATTTAGTATTAATATATATAAAGTTAAAAAATTATTTTTTTTTCAAAACAATTTTATATTTGAGTTTTTTTAACAAACTTTATCTAAATAACGTCGACAGTTGCTTTCACTGCGGTGCAATTAAAAAGAATACGAGAGAACTAATTAATATTACGAAAAGAGGCAATAATAATTAATAAGTTCTTACATATCTTTTTTATGTTACGGGTGAAATATTAAATTTCGCGCGTCAACAATACTCGATGCATTACAACAATACTCGCAGCGTACTTCGGTTTCCCTCTTGCATTTGTTTCCAGGTTTCTATTCCTACACGGATGACGGATCATGACATAAAGCTGGAAACACAATGGGCAACAGCGAGTGTAATGCATAAGAAAATAAACCAATCAAAATCCTTTGTTTTCTTTCTTTCCATGAAATAAAGAACTATGATTGGTTGAATTTCTTATGCCTTATGTGTTATGCGTTATGCAAGAGTCTGTGCTCCCCGCTTTAGATTTTATATCATGGTACGGATAACAGCTGATTCCACCATGAGCTGATCCAAACCGTCTAAATACTCCAAACGCTTGTATTCTTTTTACGTTAATGGTGCGGGAACGATATCCGAGATACCAACATCAACACCGGGCAGCACCTGGTGGAAGGACGCCGTCGTTCCCGTTTTTACGTGACACGTGGAGTTAAACGCTGGTATCCGAAAACCCATATCAATTAGATGACGGCACGACGCCGTGGGCTGGCAGGTCATGGGAGCCTGTCTCGGCCGCTGTTTAACGAAAGTCACAGATTCCGTGCCGTACAGGTTAGAAATGGACCGAGTCTAATTGAAATCCAGGCAGTCAGCTGTCAGGGTATCTGACAGAAAATCGTTGCATGAATATTGTGAAGATTGTTCTTACCCAGATAGCAAAGCGTGTTTCAGCAAAATCATACAAATTTGTGATTGCTTATGATGCTGGTAATTTGCTGTAGATTTGTCTTCAACGATTTCGAATATGCCGATATTGTAGCAACATGCAGACAACAATGCGTATATGTATTGCTAGCAGTTTAACAGCAAGATAGCTGCGTCAATGTTATCTTGCGTTGTCGGCAATATAACAGCATTATATGATGCTGCATATTATTATAGCAACATGATGGCAATAGTACGAATTTTGATAATGACGATTTTAAAGTTGTTGACAAATTGCTGGCAAGTTGCTACTCAATGTTATCATATCGTAAAGGCATCAAGTTGCCAAAAAATCAGGACTCAGTTGCTGCAATTCTGGTAGCAACACATAGCAATGCATACTTAGCAAGCAACATACCAGCAACAAGACATGTTGCTATCTGAGTAAGAGAGGAGTTAAATAGAGAACTATATCGATTCAATATTTTAGTCATAACTTATGACTATGAGTTATAACTTTATAGTTGTACTAATATCTAACTATATGTTACAAATAACTCAAGTTATGAAAGCTGTATTGAATCCTATGTTCTGATAAGATTTTTTTTACTAGGAAGACTTCCAATTGAGGTCTTCTTAATATATTATAGATCTTACAAAAGAATGTATCGTGTTTTGCTATTTCATTGCCTGTTCTTTGTTCAGGTTCTATCGACGGCATACCAGAATGTCGTTCCAAGAAGAAGAACAAGCTGAGGTATATATATCCAAGTTTTTAGAAAATGTTTCTGTTTATGCCTTTATTAGTAGAAATAACACTGCTGTTTTATGTTTAGTTCAGTTTGGATGTCGAAGGACACGAAGACCAAACTAAAGGATCAAATAGGTATAAAAATCAGTTTGTAACTTTTAATTCTAATTTGGATTTATGATATTAATATTACATTTATCTGCCATGCTTACTGGATGTAGTCTCTTATCGTTCCTCTCTTTAAAAAGATTCAAGGTAAAAAAATATCTTATAATGTATATCTTATACATCATTTAGTATACCAAGATAAGAACGTTATGGAATATGTGAAAGCTATTACTTTTCTTGTACAAGAACTATAAGAAGTATCTTAATTTGAATTATGCAATTTTACATGTGTTTGAATTATAGAAAAAACATGGAGTTCCAGTAACTTTGGAATTATTAGAAGATGGAAGATGGTCACGAGGTGGTAATAAGTATGCCAGATTGAGTTCTAGAAACGATGTTTCTACAAGGTAAACTACATTATTACTTAACTCCAATAACATTCTTGGAATTGGTGTGTGTGTGTGTGTGAAAGACTAAAAGATCGTACACTTATTTTTAGTTCTGGTCTAAATATGTCCCTTCAAGTTCTTGATGCAAGAACGTTAATAAAACAACAGGCTTATATGTCGTCCACTCCGGGATCATCACTGGATCTTGAATGGGAACACGAAGGTAATCTATCATTATTATTATTTTTATGAATCTTACAGTACACAGACAAATTTTACTCTTGCAGGGATGCCATTACCAATTGTGGATGACGAACAAGGAGACACAGAGTATTCTCTTACACAGACGTCAGCTAATAATAGTCGAGCCTCCAGTTTGACCGCATCTCCTTGGTCTAGAGTCTCGAGTCCAAATAGTTTAGAATGGGATCCAGTGGAACAGAATATGGTATGTGTTGATATGGAGACTGAACAACTTTTAACTGAGATAGAGAGATTAACAGATAGAGCTCTAAAAGAGACGGGTGAATGGACTAATGCTAATACTAGCTGATAAACGAATTAATTAATGAAATATTGTTTGTATTTTTGTATTATAAAGTCATGGTAGAGCTAAAATAGACGCTCTAACTAAAAGATCACATTATTTCGGTATTACTATTCTTGAAACAATATAACTGCGTTTATATCGTTTCAAAAATGTGTATTGTACAACTTACAATTAAGATATGTTGGATATAGAGATATGACGCAGATATCTACGTTGTGTAGAGTATCTTGTATAATAATCTCTAGCACAGAAAGGAATTATGTCAAGCTACTAAATCAAGAAAAATCATTTGCAGTATATGCATATGTACACAACAATTGTATATGTAAATAAAAAATATTTTTTGTTTTCAATTTTTAAATAAGGCTATCTGCTTGCTTAAATAGGAAATTGAACTTTATCATAAACTTTAGCAACATAAATACAAAGCTTTAGTTTCGCTTTTGCCTCATGTAACTTCCGTATGACAATAAATTATTTTTTACAAAATAAAATCATGTGCCATACTTCTATATTTCAAATTTTTAATACATATGTGCACTCAAATGACTTGTTTTGACATGAAGTAGTATTATATATTAAAATAAATTGTTCATAAATAATGCAAACACAAGACATATACAAGAGATTCTATTAAATCATATTATTTTTTATGCAGTTTTCAAGCTATTGGCATTAATCTAAATATAAGAAATAAATGCAATATTATAATAGAGATAAGTGCACAACATTAATAGATAGTGAAATTTAGAAAAATAGCAAATGTACAAAAGAAGAAAGTTTCGGATAGGAATTATTTTATTGTAATGAAAAGCATGTAAAGATGAAATTGTTATTGTAAATGATGACTGTAGAATGCCTTAATATAGATAATAAAAGATTGTGAAGTTTGCTATAGTTTATGACTGTGTTACTTATATCATTTTATATCATTTTAATATACTTCTATTATGTCGTTATATATAATCCAAATATGCCTCATACAAGTTTAAGAAATACACCTTTTTTAATACTTGGATGTTAGAAATAAGTATTCACGAAAAAATATGTCATATCAATTAAAATTATGAAGAGATATAGTTCGATGAATGAATATATAAAAGCGAATGTGAAATTGCGGAACATCACGCTACACTATGGAGTGTAATAAATAAATTAAGAAGTAATATGTTTATATATATGCTTTAATAAATAATTAATTTATTATATTGTTATGTACATACAAAAAATGAATTTAGTCCTGCTCTAAATCCTCTTCCTCTAATAGATATGTGTATTACATATTAAATTTTATTACAGTGGCTATACACATATGAAAAGTGTAAGAAAGCTATAGAGTTACACAGACATATTTGTATAGCTTATATTTATTACGAAATAGTATCATGTTAGGCTATGTATATTATATAATGCAAATTTATTGATAAAAATAATATAACAATTGTGTAAATTTATAGATACATTTTTATATTTATATATACTATATATATATATGAGCAAACACAAAAAATATTTGAAAATTATTAAAATAAAAAATTTATTACCAATTATAACTAATAGATACTAAAGTATGTAAATTTAATACCAGTCATTTTTAATATACTAAAATAAAATATATGATATAAATGTTCGATAAATAATGATATAACTTTCAATACTATGCTGTTAATGAAAAGCGACTAGTATAAATTAATGATCGAATTGGAAATTTATTTACTTTTCATTTCAGCAATAAAATTAAAATATTTTGGGATGTATAAGAAATGCTGTTTGTAACAATATGGATATGTACTAACATTTACTAATGCATATACTTTCGTCATGTATTATACACGTTTTCAAAAAAAAAAATTAGATTCACAGTTTACAATATTCCTGACAGTATAAATTTTTTTCTGCAAGATTAAAAATGATGTCCATAAAACGTGTATAAAATTTACTATTTTCTTAACATATCCCTATACTTTTGCAAAAACAAATAAGTTAAACAAGAAATAATCGTCGTAAAATTAACAAAATTATTGCGGATACTAATGAAGCGATAAGAATACTCCAAAATAAATCATTCGAAGACGACATTGTCTCTACGCGATTTAGGATAATCTCAGGTTGTTGATAATCCCAATTTTCTTCCGTCATCGTTTCCACGTTACGTTGCAGTATTTCGCGTTCGGTTACATTTGTTGTTTTATCCGTAAATAATATGTCTGACGTTGGTGAGTCATCGGCCTAGAATTTTTTTTTACAAATACATCCATTAAGTTCTTGTGGTAATTTATATTTTTATAACATATAATAATCATCATATATATATATACACACATCACATATATACAGGTTCAACTTCTCAATCAGAGTAGTAACCAATTTTTTACTCTCTACGAGAAAATTATCAACCTCACATTTAATTATTTAGATGCAATTTTTTTTTATAGACTTAGCGATACAGATCAGATGCGTGGAATTGCACATCATGCGAATTGCTAGGCACTGAGAAAAAAAGCACGTTTTTAATATATCTTGTAACAATTTTCACAACTCATGCTCAACCCAGCAGTTTGCATGATGTTAGATAAATTCTTTCTCAACTATATATATTTATAATAGGTATTTAAAAACATATGTATAACTGCTTACTTTGAGAGCAATTGTTTTCAGCATGGTTTGCTCCTCCTCGGTGATAGGTTTCTTAACAGAGTTTTTCGACAACAAGCTCACAACTTTACCACAAGTATCGCACTGCCAGTTCAGCGATCTGGAATGCAAGGATCAATTACGAGACTACATCATATTTTTACAATGCGTTTTGTGTTTAATTACGATATGTAGCTATACTTTTTAGCAAGTTTCTGTCGTTCCTCAGTGCTGTAATCTAATGCTCCAATTGTACCACTTCCAGGTGTAGGCATGAAAGCTATCAAGGCCAGCAATGCCGTTCTAATACTCCACGATGGCTGCCATGTTTCAGGATGATGACCAGAAATACTCAGGCATATTTTCTTGTTTATTTCAAAACGTCCATTTGGCTAAATAAAAAAAAATTACATGTGACAACATGACATAACATCGTGATATAACAATTCATGTGTTACTCGTGTGTTACTGATGTCCACTTACTGTCAATAAGATGATATTTGGTGGCTTCATAGGATACTCTGGTGGTAGCAAGATTCTCCCATGATAAACGCCACCTTCAAAGTCTGTCGACGGTGGTCCTTGCACTGTGAAATGCCATTCGAACAGGTTGTCCTCAAGAGGAGACGCATAGTACTCTTCGGTGGCTTCGTGTAACTCCTGTGCCTCTCTCATTAATCTCTTCACCGCTAAGATACATATACTTAATAAAATAACAGTTTTAACTTTGTAATACTTACAAATCTTACTAAGATATCAATTGTGTTATTCGATAACTTATGTTATTTAATAAGCTGATAAGCAGGCATATACATATATATCAACATACATATACATGAGAGATTTTTATGTATGCCATACGTCATTAATTGTTATGCTTTAATCGACCGTCGTGTAAAAGTGATACGAAAGCTCGGCGGATATCGAAGTTGGCTAGCTGGCAACTACGCTGACATCCACAAATACAATTGCATCATGGAAATATGTCAGAGTTGCGCGGCTAATGTGAGTCAAAACAAACGTTTCGACCGGTGCAATTTGCGCGTTGACTTCGACTTACCCGGGCTCTTGGCGTTATATTTGCCTTCGAATGACATCTTCGATGACTTTTCCGGGTACCTTCCCTTCGTCGGGGCGCAGGTTGAAGAACTAAGAACGGGAAAAACGGATGCGGAGCGTGAATCGTCTTTCTCTACCGATTCCACCAGATCTCACCGATGCACTGATCGATGAAACGCGTCCCGCTCACATATTCGTAGTCGGCGTGTACGCACGCCAATTTCTCCGGACGACTTTCGACGTCGAGTCCAAGTCTCAACGTGAGACTGATCGCTCCAAATCGCTCACTATGAATGTTAACGCGAGCCTCGCTAGGACGTGACGTGACGTGGTAAACCTCGCCGCGCTTTGGCGCTCGCGCGCTTCTATTTATCACCAAACTAGAAACAACCAGGAATGGCAGGGTAGGGATGCCATTTTACAGACGCTTACGGCACGTGGAGGGGATCAGTGTTGTCCACCAGGTCACTGCAAAATCTTTTGCGCATACACGAAAAAATCCTTCAATGATTTGATAAAATCTTTCACCAATAATCACAAAAGATATGAGACACGTGTTTCGCGAAAAAAATTTGAGATTTTTTTGTGAAGTTATTCACGCTTGTAGTGTTGCAGAAATTCATATAATTATATATAAAATATATCCATTTATATACAAAATTCTATATAATTTTATATCATTTTATATAATTATACATAAAACATTTTTTTCTGAGCAATCATAGTCGAATAATCGAAAATAATAATGAGAAGAATAATCAACTATAACTACAATTATGGTCAATTTTCTACGACTTGAGATCTTACGATCGCTACGGCCGGTATTCATATTCTTATTTCAAGACCGTTTTAAGTAATATCTTAAGACGCTAATGCGGTCCTCTGATTGATTCGTGACATCTTAAGACAGTCTTGAATATAAGATTTGACTATGAATACCGGCCTACGACTTCTATTGTAAACACCGTATTAGTTACTCGAGTAAAGTTTCGAAACGCTGATCGATAATTTCCTCTCGCCGAATAGAGTATACGTATTTTGTAGTTTACATTAGTAAAAAACCTTCCATTTTCAAAAACCTTCCTTCGACCTTCCGATGGATCTTAAAACCTTTCAAATGAAAGAAAACCTTCCAATGGAACAACTGGAGGGAATAGACTGGCAGAAATGGCGGATGTGTGCTGACTTCACGTACGTCACGCAATATACAGTAAAAGATTATCAAGAATTGACCAATCATAGGTCAAACGATTAAATCAGAAGTCAGAAGCTAAAAATTGGTTGCGTTCAGCAGAAAATTAATCAGTTACCCAGATAGTACCTCAGATAGCAAAGCGTGTCTCAGCAAAATCACACGAATCTGTGATTGCTTATGATATTGGCAACTTGCCATAGATTTGTCTTCAACGATTTCGAATATACGAATGCCGACATTGTAGCAACATGCAGGCAACAATGTGTATATGTATTGCCAGCAGTTTAACAGCAAGATAGCTGCATCAATGTTATCTTGTGCTGTCGGCAATATGAAAGCATTGCATGATGCTGCATATTATTATGGCAACATGATGGTAATAGTACGAATTTTGATGATGACGATTTTAAGGTTGTCGGCAAACTGCTGGCAAGTTGCTATTCAAAGTTATCGTATCGTGAAGGCATCATGTTGCCAATAAATGAGGACTCAGTTGCTGCAATTCTGGTAGCAACACATGCTTAGCAATGCATACTTAGCAAGCAACATGTCAGCA